GCATTGTTAAGGTATGACCTAAGCAAAGTGACATTATCTTGTATCTTATAAGTTTTTGCATGTTAGTATTTCGATGCATCTCATTTTTCTTCAGCATTTTTCAAAGGTAACTCGGACAAAGACTCTTTCGTGGCCCATAAGCTTCCATCACCAATCAAAGCAAGTTTGATCAGATTTGTAGTACTGAAGTGGTATGGTGAATACATATGCATGAGGGTTGAAGTATATGGATGCTATATTCCTTAGATATCACCATGAAAACCGRAATAACGTCACAGTATTGTTCACTGAGCTGCATCATAAATTGATTCTTTTAATCGAACAGCCACCGCTGCACAAAGAAAGACTTATTGACCGATTTAACTCGGTAAATACTTAATACAGAAGGAAGTACGCTGCTTTGAGCTCAGTGAAATAGTGTTTCCTGCATTGTTTAAAAACTGAGGGAGAATTTCAAAGATTCAATAAAGACAAAAAGTTAATAAAATTGAAATCATTTTCAGTGTTACTAAATAATTGATACTGCAGTTTTCTATATAGTTTAAACTATACTGCTGAGTTACTCTGTCAAAAACTTAAGTATATTATTGTTTTAAGGGATGCTGTGCATGTATGCATTATTTAGCAGCTAATTTAATTGTGTGTACGATTCGACTTGCACCATAAACAAAGAAAAGAAATCAATTTGAACTTTGCTCTTTCAATGACTCAAGATTTTTAAGATTTAATTTTGCCTAAGAAATGATTAAAAATTATGAAAAGTCAGAAAAAGAAGCCCTATCTTTTTGTCCATTTGTGAATATGCCCTCTTTGTTTGGTCCATCGCTACCATTATACAGTCAAAAAAAACTTTATCAACTGGCAGAAACTATAATCATCACGCCCACATGAAAAGGTCTGAAAAACCGGCGGGAGTCAAACAATATTTTTGTAAAGAGAGTATATAACAATTACGTTCACTTAATAATCAAACCCTGATTGAATACGTACAAGAAAATTCAACTTTTATGGAGTCAGTCGAACCTGTGATGCCGAGCTGTTCAGCCCAAATTGAAGATGCACTGGCGTGATAATGGTAAGCGGTTTTGCTCTTTTCAAAAATTAGAAAGCCTCACTAATCAAATACCCATTCATCGTACAAAATAAAGTATTCCAAAAAGTTTGAGTTATATTGCACTTGTAGGTTTAGCAATCCCGCGTTCTTTCAAGATTTTTGTAAACAAATATATTAATTCACATTGACATCTTATCGTCAATCTGAACAAACTACGATCTGTCAGTCAAGTAACTCGACAGCCAGCGAAGGAAACCCGTTGAAAAGACAAGCGATTACAATTTGAAGATAAGAGTCTTAAAATCAATGGTGTCGAAGGCCTTGGAAAAATCAGCAGAAGCCATCAGAGTGATCTCCCCTTTCTTCATAACTTTGATTAAAAAAATGGTAAAAAAAAAATTCAGCACCCGTGCTGCCATAAAGGATGATTAGCACCAAACACCTTGAGTTGAACTTCGAGCTAGTGATTGTAAATGATCATAAGAGAGTTTGTATTTAAAAAAAATGGAACGTTTTCGGATCAAAAACTCAAAGGCCTGGGACTGAATTTTTTAAAAGTGATACTATCTTACATAAATCTGTTGTCTATAGATAAAGCACTTATAAATTAGCTAAAGTTTAAAGTTCGAGCAAGTTAAATTCATTAGAAATGGAAATAGAATTTTTCTAAAATTTCTAAAATTACAAAGAATGCATTATGGACATTATGTTTGGATGGACGCTGGACACCATACATTTCTTTGTAGTTTTGGCAAGTTTTAATGTCCGTAACTTTATTGCTATAAGTTCAAACATCATTAAACTTAGTCAGTAAGCGTTTTATATGGTGCTCTCTCAGATGATTTATTCTTTCGGACTCAGTTTGTTATCGGCAAATACGGCTCTGGCTCTGGACAGACCGCACGTCAACCAATCAGAATTCAGGAAATTTACACAGTCATATAATAAAGGCAATTCATAGATAATTATATGATAAATCTTATTACTTTTATTCCAGAATAGCGCTATTATCGACCTACTGCTTCTGATCAACGTAGTGTTACTGAAAACTACACTGGCCAACAAGTGTGATACTGCATCTTATCAAGCAGCAGGTCACGTTTTCCTTCATCACGTGATCCAGTCTTTACAGGGTACTAGTTCTATAGTCAGCTGTCTTGACCATTGTGAAGACAACTTGTCATGTCACAGCATCAACTGGTACAGTATTACAGGTCTGTGTCAGCTGAACAACGGTACTCACCTCTCCTACCCTGAGGGTCTTGTGCCAGACTCGACTGGAAGCTACATGCTGTACAGCCTTCGCCCTATGGTTACCTGTAGCAACAAGTTCTGTAGTCATGGAGACGTTTGTCTGATGGAAAAGGACGGGATCAACTATCGATGTCAATCTGGTAAGGTGAAGTAATCGATCTAAAGAATTGGAAATAAAGGTATAGGAATGAGAGAGCATAGTAATTTCATTTGAAATCTTTAAAATGTCGATGGTNAGTCCAAAAAAAAACTTTATCAACTGGCAGAAAGTATAGTCATCACGCCCACATGAAAGGTCTGAAAACCCGGCGGGAGTCAAAACAATATTTTTGTAAAGAGAGTATATAACAATTACGTTCACTTAATAATCAAACTCTGATTGAACACGTACAAGAAAATTCAACTTTTATGAAGTCAGTCGAATCTGTGATGCCGAGCTGTTCAGACCCAATTGAAGATGCACTGGCATGATAATGGTAAGCGGTTTTGCTCTTTTCAAAAACTAGAAAGCCTGACTAATCAAATACCCATTCATTGTACAAAATAAAATATTCCAAAAAGTTTGAGTTATATTGCACTTGTAGGTTTAGCAATCCCGCGTTCTTTCAAGATTTTTGTAAACAAATATATTAATTCACATTGACATCTTATCGTCAATCTGAACAAACTACGATCTGTCAGTCAAGTAACTCGACAGCCAGCGAAGGAAACCCGTTGAAAAGACAAGCGATTACAACTTGAAGATCAGAGTCTTAAAATCAATGGTGTCGAAGGCCTTGGAAAAATCAGCAGGAGCCATCAGAGTGATCTCCCCTTTCTTCATTGCTTTGAATAAAAAAAATGGTAAAAAAAATTTAGCACCCGTGCTACCATAAAGGATGATTAGCACCAAACACCTTGAGTTGAACTTCGAGCTAGTGATTGTCAATGATCATAAGACAGTTTGTATTTAAAAAAATGGAACGTTTTCGGATCAAAAACTCGGTGCCCTGGGACTGAATTTTTTAAAAGTGATACTATCTTACATAAATCTGTTTTGAATGTCCGTAACTTTATCATGAAACTTAGTCAGTAAGCGTTTTATATGGTGCTCTCTCACATGATGGGGTTATTCTTTCGGACTCAGTTTGTTATCGGCAAATACGGCTCTGGCTTGACAGACCGCACGTCAGCCAATCAGAATTCAGGAAATTTACAAGTCATATAATAAAGGCAATTCATAGATAATTATATGATAAATCTTATGACTTTTATTCCAGAATAGCGTTATTATCGACCTAGTGCTTCTGATCAACGTAGTGTTACTGAAAACTACACTGGCCAACAAGTGTGATGCTGCATCTTATCAAGTAGCAGGTCACGTGCTCCTTCATCACGTGATCCAGTCTTTACAGGGTACTAGTTCTATAGTCAGCTGTCTTGACCATTGTGACGGCAACCCGTCATGTCACAGCATCAACTGGTACAGTAAGACAGGTCTATGTCAGCTGAACAACGGAACTCACCTCTCCTACCCTGAGGGTCTTGTGACAGACTCGACTGGAAGGTACATGCTGTACAGCCCTCACCCGATGGTTGCCTGTAGCAACACGTTTTGTAGTCATGAAGACGTTTGTCTGATGGAAAAGGACGGGATCAACTATCGATGTCAATCTGGTAAGGTGAAGTAATCGATCTAAAGTATTGGAAATAAAGGTGTAGGAATGAGAGAGCAGAGTAATTTCATTTGAAATCTTTTAAATGTCGATGGTGTAAGTTGAACAGAAAAGAGCTCTAAAATTAACTGATAAAGTACGAGACACATTGACCATCAGTTTCGAGTCTGTCCTAATTTTTTGTTTGAGGGTTTAGCGCTCAAAAACACATAATGAAATATATCAATATATGATAAAAACTAGTGTGGATGTTTTTTAGTCATCTCGATTTTATTTTTGCATTCAGAATGCATGTCACCTTTTGGGATGCAAGATGGACGCATTCAAGATTCCCAGATTACCGCGTCATCCACGTGGAACGACAATGGGTTCAGCCCAGATAGAGGCCGGTTACACTTGACTACCGGTATTGGAGCCTGGTGCGCTAGGACACTAACTGTAGGGGAATACCTTCAAATTGATTTGAAAAAGGCGTGCAAAATCAGCAAAATATCCACACAAGGTAGACMTGACTAYSMTCAGTGGGTTAAAAAGTACTACCTCGAGTACAGTCAAGATGGCAGAAACTGGGAATTGTACAAATATGGCGGTTTTGTTAAGGTATAGCGGTGCAAGGTATTATCACAGGCAGCCCAGCCTACGGTAATACGGTCGTTTATTTTATTATCAGTTTTAAAGTATCCGTATTCAATTTTTCAGCATTTTCAAGGCAACGTTGACAAGACCTCAGTCGTAACTTACAAGCTTCCATCAATAATCCAAGCAAGATTGATCAGATTTGTGGCACTGAAGTGGAAAGAYCKCGCTTGCATGAGGGTYGAGATATATGGATGTGATTAGCCAATCTTTTTGATGTTATTTTTGATCACTTTTTTCCTCCCTAACGGGAACATAAGAAAATTTATGTTAGTATTTCTCAAAAAAGATAAAAAATGTTATTTGTTTTTTTTTGCATGCATAACTGCACTCTTCATGTCAAATACGTTGTATAATGAAATAAATAAATAATCAATCAATGCAGCATGGCTTGATACGTTTCTGGCAGAAATTCGATAGGTTGTCAAGAATTCATATTAAAARCCAGGAAGTTTCAATTAAATGTATTTCATTTTTGAACGAAATGAGTCATACACAACAGTGGACTTAGTCCAGAACTGGAGCCTCTTTTATCCTGACCTTTGAGTACATTGATTCAAGAATTCAAATGTAGATTTAAATTCCGCCCACGCAAGGATAAAAGAGTGTCCAGTTCTGGACTATAGTGGAATTCACAGTATTTTTGGGGTTGTTTTGTTTTTTTCCTATATTTTTTCTAACACTGCGTGTTAACCTTATTAATTTGTCAATCATTACAAGTCTATTTTCAAAGACTTTGTCTGCCAAGGAATCAAAACTCCCATAGCCTGTGTACATCCGTTTCTCACCCCTCAAAAATTTTTTTGAGGGGTGAGAAACGGATGTACACAGGCTAAACTCCCAGAACTGGCAAGCGCCACTGCCTTGCCCTGCCTGCGCAACCTTGCTTGGTTCCAGTCCCTCTCCGTTTTATATATCAAAGATGGCGGAAGGTGGACACATTTTTGCATGCAAGCTTCAACCAGCTTGATAATCCATTCTTGAGGTATGGCTGGAGATATTCTGGATCGATTTAACCCAAAAGTTTCAAAGCTCTTAAAGCTTTTGTTCACTACGGAAAACTTTGGACTCAAAGGAGAGAGAATCCAAATAAAAGAACCGAAGTCAGGGTAGGTTAGGAATGAGAGTTTTATTGTTGTTGTTTTTTTTTGTGTGTGGAAGTGTGTTAAAATTTGTCTTTTCTTTTAGATGCAGTTATCCACCTTCGACAGCTAGAAATCTAGATCGTTTTAAAGTCTATATCCCCTTTGCTGGACACACTCTTAAATGTAAGTTAACTTAGATAATGTCCAACATAGCAAACAACACACATTTTATTAAGCTTTTCAACTACATGTAAATCTAGTASACATATCGATCTTCCTGTGTTTTTATACCAGGGGAAGTAATATTCAGCCATCCAGAATTACCTCCTGATTTCATATTTGGAAATCAAGAGTTAGACTTTGTTCCTGACATTGAAAAAATGCAGGTTTGTGTCCCATGGTATTATTTTATGCAGTCATTGTATTTATTTTTGAATTACTCATACTTTTCTCCACAAGTCCTTGATCGATTGGGACCATAACAACCCACAGAGTTTTGTGACGTTAATAAAAGAATTGGTCCAGCATTATAAACACTACCAAACAGAGTTAGTCAAGTCCATTCCCAGGATGCAGATTGAGTGTGACTACTTGCTTGGGAACAGTGATTATAGTGATTATGAAGTTCATTTCAGAAGGGAAGCAAATCAGGTAATTGTTGTTGCAGCTAATTTGTGTACCCCTTCTTTATTAGAAAACACTATATGTTAACTGAAAGACAGTTTTTATGCTTCCAATTTGATAAGATGGTCAACTTGATGCAAATCTCTCTTGGAGCCAAAAGATCCATTATTGTTCATGTTAATTGGGCTGAAAAAATCCCATGTTAACCTAAGCTTAAATTTTGTTGCCAACTATTCTTAACAGACTAATAACTAAGATTTTGTTTTGTATTTCCTATGTAATCTGTTCCACAAATTTCCCAATGTCAACATTATATAATTAATCTATTAAAATTATTTTGTTGTAGATGTATGATTTAGAAGTTAATATACTGATTAAGATTCCAGTAGATGTTGAATCTATTCCCCCATACCTTCTCAAAGTAAGTGTGTGTCAAATTCAAATTGCTTGTAATAACTATTGACTGTAAGACAGCAGTCTCATTTGTAAGTGTTGTTGCYATTTTCTAAGTAAACAAATTATAATTTCATGAAAAAGGCTTCAAAGATGATGTACCTATTGTTTAATATTGTAATTATTGAAGGACAATCCTGGTATAGATATGGCGTGTTTGCTTCTCACTTACATTTCACCAGATGGAAAGTGTCATGTTACTCCAAGGTTGTACTTGTCCCCCAGATTGGAAAGGTACCATTCATTGCTTGGCTGATACATCTCTAAGATAATTTGTATTTTCTGAATAAGATGTAAGCTGTAGCTTGACTCAGTTTGATCATAGTTAGTACTTAGTATTACATGTATGGTTTGATATAACAATTGCTGTTGCATTATTAATGTTTTGCAATACACAGTCATTATACCATTGTCCGAAAAAATAGAAGGTTTCCTGCAATGGTTAATTTACTTTTTTTGTAATTTGGGATGAAAGGGACCAATGAGTAATGTGCTAATCAAACGGTACTTAGATCAAATTCCACCATTTCAAATGTATGCAATGGCTGTGTTTTATGCTGGTAGGTAAATAGTTGTGATACTGTCTTTTAATTTTATATTGTCTGATATGTAGTGCTCTTGGTGGCTCTTCAACACTACGCATCCCACAGTGGGGTGGACAGAATGGTTCATGTCTAATGGATTATCTGCCTGTCATTCATCAATTGTTAAAACAAAAGGTAAGACATCAGTTTCTTGTTGCTAAGTGATGTGTGTACTTCATTTTGAACTCAAACTAGCTCTCACAGTTTTTTCCTTTCTGTTTTGTAATCATTTCCAAGGTGTACATGTAAACTGCAATAGTTTTTCTCAATTTAATAGATTATTGTCAGCCCTATTTGTATTATCACCCTTATCTCCTATTATATTAATGATTAACTTCAGGTATAAGGCCTTTGTGAAAAGGAACAGGGTCTGGTTTCACTATTGTATTTTAAAGTTTTTTATGTGTTGGATGATACTGGTAGATATTTTGTCTCTTTTCTAGGTGATGTTATATTATTTTGTATATATACATAGGTTGCTTAAATGTGTTTGTTAAATTTTAAGGTGACCCAAGTAAGCTCTGGTTATCAAAAAAGGAAGGAGTATGTGTCAGCATTCATGAGTTCATTTGGAGGGTAAGATATTTCTAATTTATTTATTGTGAGTACAATGCAGTTTACTGTCATTTTCATTGCTATACAACCTGTCAAGATTAAACATCACCGCTGCAATTACGTAGTATAGACTATTCTATGTCAGCTTAAGTGCTTTGGCACCAATTGCCAGTAATTTGTTTGGARATTTTGATTGATGTGAGTATTGCTATACTACCTGTCAAGATTAAACTTCACCGCTGCAATTACGTAGTATAGACTATTCTATGTCAGCTTTTGTGCTTTGGAACCAATTACCAGTAATTTGTTTGGARATTTTGATTGATGWGAGTATTGCTATACTACCTGTCAAGATTAAACTTCACCGCTGCAATTACGTAGTATAGACTATTCTATGTCAGCTTTTGTGCTTTGGAACCAATTACCAGTAATTTGTTTGGAAATTTTGAATTATGTGAGTATTGCTATACTACCTGTCAAGATTAAAGTTCACTACGTAGTATAGACTGTTCTCTGTCAGCTTTTGTGCTTCGGAACCAATTACCAGTAATTTGTTTGGAAATTTTGATTGATGAGAGTATTGCAAGTTGCATGTTATGAATTTGTTTGGCTAGTTGTGTGTAGCAGGTGGTAAACAAATGGCAGTAACTCTCATTCATGTTTTTCTCAAAGACTTGTTTGTTGCATCATTCTTTCCAGGTCTGTTCTTGAATATGATGCTGATACCTACTATGACATTTCACTGCTTCTGAACGTCCAGGGCTTCTTCTGTATAGCACACAGTAAGTGYAGGAAAAGAACATGGATTCTTATATCTCTTGGGCTCATGGGTCAGGCATTATTCAGTAGGGCACAGAAATGGTTATAGATCAGTACGAATTATGAAATCTTTCTGCTAAGTTATTGAAAAGCATAAGAGAAGGCATTGTCAGTTGTGGTTACATGGATTTTATAAGTGTTTGAGTAGCCTTGTTTGTATTTACACTGTGAGAGCACAATTTTTTCTTTATTTTTCCTTTATGTATYGTCAGTTTTATGTTATCATCTGTGTTTCATTATTGTTCATTTTATCAGACTTTTATGTTTAAGGTCAGTAACAACATTTATTTTTGGATTTTGATATGTTTTTTTTTTCAGTAAGCTTAAGTGTGGGATTTCCATTAGACAAACCAACAATTGAGCTTCAGTCAATTTATCATGAGATCAAAGGAGTCCCATACTCCATCACATACAGAGAATATCCATACTCTCCCCGGTGGAGTGGGGAACTTATGTCAGAAGCAGCAAGGTACTACTGTCTGTGATAAAACTWTATCTTGTATTTTGATTTTGTTAGCAAGAATGTCTTATCGGAAATAGAAATGTACAGTACAGTATGTAYATCATGAAACCTTAATCATGTATTTTTTATGCTTACAATGTCACAAGCAGGCACTCACAATTAGATTTGTTTGTAAAATATCTGTATTTGAACTCACTCCTTTGTTGTTGTTTTTCAGAACATTTTTTCTAGAGAAGATTCCAGAATTCAAAGAGGCCTCAGTATCTAATGGAACATTTTGACATACTGTACAACTTTGTATAGTCTTTGGTTTTCTTATTTCGATAGGAGCCTGATGATAGCATGACCGTTGTGTCTCTCTCCGTATACTTTTAATAGAAAATATCAATAAAAATTCACGGGACTGGATACCAGCCATTGTACTCTCTCATCAAAGCTGTAGCGGGTGCTCAACACATCCCTTCTAAATATTTGATGTATGGCATGTAGAAAAATAATTATTGTAAAGGTCMACTGAGATCACCAGTATTATCCTGGCATCCCTGAATCATGAGTGGAAAGGACCACTTGTTGGTGTTTGATTGAATTTTTTAGGGCACTATTTGTGGAAAAAGTCATATTTAGTCTTAAAATTGAAGTAGCTTAATAAAATCAAAGTTTGTATATAGTTTTTATATTGGCATAATAAAATACGATTATTATTATACAGATGTCTTTTTGTGAGCAAATTATCTTTGCATGTTTGGTTGTATCTTTGTTGGCAAATTGCAAACTACCTACTACTGTAAATACCTAAGCAGCATCTCTCTCCTTTGTAACTACTCTGTTGTTGATCATGGAGTGTTTCCTGGAGGAGGATTTTATTTCTACTCCTGGTTATGGGCTGACCTACTGCATCTATACACAATGAGCTAGAACTTCCAATTAATTTTTTTGTGTCATTTAATACCCCCTCCCACGAACAAAACATTTTCTAAAATATTTTCTAAATGATTCCGTGTTGTCTGGATAGTGTGGGAATCATGAAAAAAATAATTCTAAAACTATTAAAACTTTTTCGGGACAGAGTTGGCAATACGTTGTTCAGGATTCCTGTGGACCGTATTAGCGCATGCGCCGAACGATGATTCATTTGGAAATTGGCGCAAAAACTTGTCAGAAAATTTGTTAGGATTTCAGTAAATATTTGATTATTTAGCASAGTTTTACTTGGACGATGGGAGACGATGATGATCTAGCATTTGCTTTATTTCTCCAAGAACAATTGAATAACGAAAATTCTGAAATAGTGCCACAAAAACAGTCAAACGTCCCAACTTCTCTGGTCGACCCRTCATGGGAATTGATYGATCCTAACCCAGATATCAGACAGTTGTTTCTGCAGTTTAATCAGGAATACTTTGATGGAATGCTTGGTGGAGTAGAAGTGCGTTGGAGTCCAAGAATGACACTGTAAGGATCGGATATTTTTAACA